CGCCCTGGCTCCAACCACAATGCTGGCTCAGGGTAGTGCTCCCTCCAACGCACTGGCAACAGCATTATTTAATGCGTGCGTGCAAGCTGTTTCTGACATTTTTCTTGGCGTCGGATTTGCTGAGTCAGCTCGTTTTTCCTATGCAGTGCTCGCGCTTGGCTGCACTACTTGTGCGAAGCGCCCTCGGACGGTGCTGGGCGGCTTCCGCGCGGGAGCGGGGCTGGCAATAATGCCTGGACCGTCCACGTCCACGGTTTCGAAGTGTGGCTCTTGCCTTCGCCTCTTCGGCTACGCTCCCGTCCTAGGAGGACGAGCTAAGGGAAGTGCTCTCGCTTCGGCGCCAGCCAAAAATTCCTGGACTAAATCGGTGTTCTCGGTTTCGCGTGGGCTGCGCTCCTGTGCTCGCCTAAATGTTGGCTGTGCTCCAGGCCAGATGGATTTCTCGCCTCAGCGCCAGCCGCATTACCAGCCTGGACTGGCGCTCCCGCCCAGACGCTGGTCTCATTACCACTGCACAAGGCTTGCCGGGTAGTTATCGAGGCTGTCTAGGGTTTCTCTTGGGGTCAGTTGGGGCCATGTTGGGCTCCTTTTTAGCCTCAGTTTGGGCGTCCTCGGGCGAAGTGATCTTCTGATGTCCAGACGGAGCGATGGCGACAAAACCACAAGCACTGTCAATCATACATCACACCGAGCGCTTGCGCACGAGAGTGAGGGGGAAGCGTCGTGCGTGCCCCCCCATCTGGCCCCGACTTGCAGTTCCCACGTGGAGGCCCCAATGTGTGGCCCCCACCTGGAGCCCGTTCGGAAGAACCCCCGGCGATCACGCGCGTGACCGGCCCCGCCCCTGCCCCCCCTGTAGTCACGACGCGGCGGTCGTCCGGTGGCGACCGCGGACGTCCTGTGGCACTCGCAGGCTACGGTGGTGTGCTGAGACATGCTGTTGTGTTCACAGGGACGCTGTGGCACTCGCGCGGGAAATCGGCGTGCCGCGTGGTGCTCTCAGGGACGCAGTGTTGTTCTGTTGCTGAGAGGTATTGGCGCGGTGGTCGGAGCGCGGCGCTCGCAGTTGCCGGCGCTGAGTGGTGTATACGGGTACTGAATACGCACGCGGGCGTTGTGTAGTATATGAACGTTGCGGTGTTCATAGTCGCTGTGGCGTGTGCAGGCACTGCGGGTGGGGGCCGTGTCCAGGGCAAGAGAAAAGGAGGACGAGGATGAGGGGGAGAAGACGGAGGAGGAGCACGACGACGATTCCGATGACGACGATCACGACGACGCTGACGACGACGACGGCGCTGTCGACGACGACGATTCAGACAGCGACTCCGACGCTGAGGACGACAACGACGATTGCAAGGACGGCGAACGCGACGACGACTACAACAATGACTATTACTGGTACTACTATGATTATCGTAACTATTATTCCTACCACTATCACTACTACTACTACTACTACTACTACTACTACTACTACTACTACTACTACTACTACTACTTCTACTACTACTACTACTACTATTACTACTATTACTGCTATCAGTATGATTACTACTACTGCTACTACTACTACCACCCATACTATTACGAGTACTACTTCCACTACTCGTACTACTAGTGCTACTACTACGACTATTAGTATTATTACTACTACTACTACTACTACTCCTACTACTACTACTACTGATACCTAGGCCACTGCTACTATTACTATTTCTAGTATTATAATTTCTACTTCTACTACTAGTACCGCTACTACTACTACTACTACTACTACTACTACTGCTACTGCTACTCCTACTGCTAATGCTAGGACTACGACTACTACGACTACTACTACTACGTCTACTACGATTGCTACGACTACGACTATTATTGTTATTATGATTATTCGTATTATTATTATTACTATCTGTATTTCTACTACTATTATTCATTCTTGCTACTGTTAGTAGTAGTAGTAGTAGTAGTAGTAGTAGTAGTAGTCGTAGTAGTAGTAGTAGTAGTCGTCGTCGTAGTAGTAGTCGTAGTAGTAGTAGTAGTAGTAGTAGTAGTAGTAGTAGAAGTAGTAGTAGTAGTAGGTAGTAGTAGTAGTCGTCGTCGTCGTCGTCGTAGTAGTAGTAGTAGCAGTAGTAGTAGCAGTAGTAGTCGTAGTACTACTACTACTATCATTACTATTACTATTACCTTTACTACTACTATCATTACTACTATTGCCACTGCCATTCTACTGGTGCCTATACTGCTACTACGGCTGCTTTTGCTGCTACTACTACTGCTACTACTACTACTACTACTACTACTACTACTACGACTGCTACTACAGCTACTACTACTACTACTACTACAACTACTACTACTACTGCTACTACTACTACTACTACTACTACTGCTACTACTACTACTGCTACTACTACTACTACTACGACTACTACTACTACTACTACTACTACTACTACTGCTACTGCTACTGCTACTGCTACTGCTAGTGCTTGCATACCGCCGCCGGGCCCCAGGCTCTGCGGTGCTCGCGCGCGCTGTGTTCACAGGCGTTGTGGTGGTCACAGGCGTTGAGGCGTTCTCCGGCTGTAGTGTGCACAGGCGATTTGGTATTTCTAGGTGCCTTGGTGTTCGCAGGCGCTGCGTTCACAGGTGCTTTGATGTTCAGAGGCGCTGTGGTGTTCACGGATGCTGTGCTCTTTAAAAGCCTGTGGTGTTCATAGGCACCTCGCGTTGATCGGATCGCAAATTTTTGTGGCGCTGGTCACAGGCACGTCGTGACTGTCGGGTCGCAGGCGGTTGTTTTTCGCAGGCGCACTGCGGTGCTTACGGGCATGTTGCGGCACCACAGGCGCGCCCCCGCCGTGGCGTGACCGGCGCGACGAAGTCCCCCCCCCGGTCACGCGCGTGATCGGCCCGAATAAACGAACGGGCTCCTGTGGCCCCCAAGTTTGCCCTCCAAGTATTCGTGTACGTGTGGGTTCGCATGCACTTTTGCATTAGCACACGCATGTGTGAACAATTAAGTGTGTACGCGTGTATATATTCTTCACGCCTCGTTCATCTCCACCCGCCCACTAAGAAACGCTGTGAATCAAAGCGGGCAGCCATGGTGAACTGGGGATGCGGAGAAGGATGATGATGATGAGGAGGAGGAGGTGGAGGAGGAAGAGGAGGAGGAGGAGGAGGAGGAGGAGGAGGAGGAGGAGGAGGGGGAGGAGGGGGGGAGGACGAGGAGGAGGAGGAGGGGGACGAGGACGAGGAGGATGAGGACGAGGACTCTGGCAGTCATTTGTGGGTCTTCTTGGGGCCTTCTTTGGGTCCTTGGGTCCCTCTTGGGGCCCTCTTGGGTTTCTTTTGAGGAGTCTTGTGGTCCCCTTGGGGATATTTATGGCCCTCTTGGGGCCTTCTTGGGGCTCTCTTGGGCTCTCCCGGGGCTCTCCCTGGGGATCCTGGAGGATCTCCTGGGACCATCTTGGAGGCCATCGATCAAAAAGGGGGGGGGTCCCACATCTAGGTCCTCCGTCTGGGTGGGGCCCTTAAGATTGCCTTTTGGGGCCCTCTTGGGCCCCTCTTGCGGCGCTTTTGGGCGCTCCTGGGGACGCCTGGGGGGCTTCTTGGGCCCCTCTTGCGGCTCGGCTAGGCAATCCAGGGGCAATCCTGAGGCTTCAGAAGTGCATCGGAAGCGAAAAGGCGAGAAGGTACAACTCATCGATTTTCCAAAGGGTTTTGAAGAATTTTGGCTGCTTCTTGGGTCCTGAGGGGGCTCCGAGAGCACTTGGAACCGTCTTGTGGCCCTCTTGGGGCCTTTTGGAGCCATGCTGGAAGCCATCTTGCGCTATCTTGAACCGTCTTGGAGGCCATCTTGGAGCATCGGAGGCCCTCTTGGAGCCATCTTGGGCGAACAAATGCCCTCGGCCACCTCGCCCCACCCCACCACAAAAAAAAAGAAAATCTCAGGGAGGGGAGGGGTAGTGTACCCCTCCCCGAAGGGAAGAGGATATTTGGAAGGGGAGTGCAAGACATCGTTAGGCCACCTACGCCCAGAGGGCTGGTGATACTTACGTGTGGGTGCTACACGTTTTTGCGTTGATGTAGTGGTTGACCATCCAAGTTCTCCGACAGTTTCCCACTTTGGCGGAGAGCCCGGAGGAGAAGTGAGAAGGGGCGGGCCTTCTCAGAAGGCTCGGACGTCCTGTAGCCTGCTGAGGCTCGGACGTCCTGTCCCCGGTGTGACTGGAATTGCCTGAGACTCACGTATGCTAGGGCTCCCAACTTCGCGCTTCGCGCTCCGCGAAGCGCGAAGCGCGAATAACTTCGCGCTCTCGCGCCGCCCCCCCAAAGGGAGAAAAGGAGGACGAGGAGGAGGGGGAGGAGGAACGAGGACCGCGAAGTGTTCTAAGCCTTCCCCGAATACCGAGCCTTCCCCGAAGTGTCCGCGGACGTCCTGTAGCCGAGCCGAGCCGAGCCGAGGGGAGGAGGAGGAGGAGGAGGAGGAGGAGGAGGAGGAGGAGGAGGAGGAGGAGCGAGGAGGCGGAGCGAGGAGGAGGAGCGAGGAGGAGCGAGGAGCGAGGAGGAGGAGCGAGGAGGAGGAGGAGGAGGACTACTGAGAAGTGTCCTAAGCCTTCCCCGAATACGCAGAAACCGCTTCTCAGAGGCCCGAGGGCCTCTCAGAAGCCGCACCTGCCTTCTGAGGAGCCCTTCTCCTTTCTCCCCCCCCGCTCGTCGGCGACCACTACCTCCTCCTCCTCCTCCTCCTCCCTCCTTCCCTCCTCGCTCCTCCTCCTCGCTACCCTCTCCTCCTCGCTCCTCCTCCTCCTCGCTCCTCGCTCCTCCTCCTCCTCCTCCTCGCTCCTCCTCGCTCTCGCTCCTCCTCGCTCCTCTCGTCCTCTCCTCCTCCTCCTCCTCCTCCTCCTCCTCCTCCTCCTCCTCCTCCTCCCCTCGGCTCGGCTCGGCCGACGGCACCTGCACGCTAGGGGCGCAGGTCTCCGAGCCCGGCGCGGCAGCTCGCACCGCTGGGGGCCAGGCGTGCGCCCAAGGCCCCCCCCGGCGCCGAGCCGCTGAGGCGAGAGAGCGCACGCGCGGAGCGCCCCGCCACGCCCGCGCGCCACCTTGGGCGGCGAGCGGGGGGGGGTGAAGTTCGGGTTCGAGGTTCGAGGCTTTCGGGCGTTCTCGGTCGGTTCTCGACGGCTTTCGGGCCTCGGGATGCGTTCCAGCGGCTGCGCCTCGCCGAGAGCGTTCTGGGGGTAGCGGGATCGCCCCGAACGGCCGCCAGAGACCGGAGCTGTGACCCCAAAACCAAATGCGGCGGCGCGCCTGGGGGGGACGTGAAAGGAGGCGGCCTTCTCACGAGGCGGCGGGACCTCTCAGAAGCCCCCGCGCCTCCTGGGGAGCTCTCGGTGTCTTCGGGGAATGCTTACAGGACACTTCAAGGGCTCCCTCGAGGGCGCGAAGTTATTCGCGCTTCGCGCTTCGCCGTCCTCCTTCCTCCTCCCCCTCCTCCTCGTCCTCCTCTTCTCCCCCTTGGGGGGCGGCGCGAGAGCGCGAAGTTATTCGCGCTTCGCGCTTCGCGCAGCGCGAAGCGCGAACTTAGGAGCCCTTGACACTTCTCAGAAGGCCAGGGAGCTTCTGAGCCTGCTGAGAAGGCCCGCCCCTTTTCGCTCCTCCCCCGGGCGCGCCGCCCAGCTGAGTCGAGGGTGCGCACGCACGGAGCGCCGCCTCGCCCGCGCGCAACCTGCAGGGCGCGTACACCGTCGACTTCGAGTGCCAGAACGAGGAGGGGCGGGAGCCGGGGCACGGCGTTTGCGTGCAGCTGGGCTTAGCTCGGGGCACCATCGTTCAAGACACAGATCAAACTCGCAGGTCCGCGCGGATTCCTCGGATCGGCGCTGGAGCCCCCTGGCGGCGCCTCCGGCGCGGCCCCTGGCGAGCTCCGCGCGCCATGGAGGGGGGCCAGCGCCGATCCGAGAAATCCGCGCGTACCTCCGAGTTTTCATGTCTATGTCATTGTATGTTCCCCGTGCTGTTCCCCATGTTTGTTCATCGTGGGGGGAATTTCCTGTTTCCCCCGCCATCACCCACGCCTTCGATTGAAACAGGCGTTGCTGCACATGTTGAATGACCACTTCGCATGGCCTCCGCCGCCCTCGGCCTCACGGCCGAACAGGTGGGCCGAAAGCGCAGGGACAGAAGCAGGGTGAGATCCAGCGGTTCGTGCGCGAATCTGTCCAATGTTCGGGCGTGGGGTGGAGGAAGGGATTTCGTATCTTTGTCCAGTGGCGCTGCCGCGCGATTCCGCCACCGCGCTCGGGCGGGCGCCCAGGGGTGGGGGGCGCCAGGGGGTGGGGGATGGGGGGTCCACTGAGGGTCCCCCTCCCAGCCTCCTATTTGGGCGCTTTTTCTTTCGGGTCGGATTGGGAAAGGGGGGGTTACGACGAAATTTGCTGCATGCAGCTGGTTTCGGCCTCACCGAGGGGCCCATTCCTCGATACATGGCCGCCTCCGGCGCCGGGAGGCGCCGGGAAAATCAGCTACGTGAGCTGATTCTCACCCCCCCCCCTTTGCTATCCCCCCCTTTCGCCCGACCCGATTCTTGCCTGGAAGGCAGCCAGCGCAGGGACGTGGCCATAACAACGAACGCGTCTTGGGATCGATGCGCCGGGGGCACCGACTGCTGCTTCGCAAGGAGCGAGAGGGCCCGACACACGCCTTCCGCTGCCAGCGTGGTGGCAATTGTTCGGGCTCAGTTGTTGCAGAGGTCATTTCAGCTCCCCAGGTCAAGAGCATCCACAGGATCCGCAGGATTGATTCCAGAGAATCTGAGAGCGCTTCAGAGCACTCTAGAATTTTTGAGCGGCAGCGAGGCTCGCCTCCTGTTTGCCCCCCTCCCGCTTGGTCTTTCCTCTTTCGCTTTCCTCCCACTTGCGCTAATTCAGGCCGTTGCTAGTCTACACCGCCCCCTGACGCCGCCCGACTTCTCGCCGCAGTCGCGATAAAAAGTCCCCACCAGCCCATTCGCAAACCGTGCTCAGACGAGTTGCCTTGGAGGTCATATTAGACTCTGAGGCCCTCTTTGAGCCGTCTTGGGCCATCTTGGATGCTCTGACCGCTCGCGGGGCGCCTCGTCCAGGTCCAGGGTAGGGGGTAGAGGGAGGGGTAAGCCCCTCCCCGAAGGGGAAGAATGGGGTTTAGAAGAGGAGCCTCCATAGACCACCTACGCTTAAGTCGGGCCTGTTCCTCGACAGGAAGAATATCAAACAATAGTAAAAAGACTGGGGACGATTTTTTGACTCCTCCCCCTCCTCCCCCTTCTCCCTCCCCCTCCTCACCTCCCCTCCCTCCCTCCTTTCTTCCCTTCCTCCCTTGCCCCCTCTTCCCTCCCCCCCCCTTCCCCTCCTTCCCTCCCCCCTCCCTCCTCCCTTTCCCTCCTCCCTTTCTCTCTCCCCTTCCCCTTCACGTAGTACCTCCCCTCCCCTCTCCTCCTCTCCTCCCCCCCTCCCCACCCCTGCCCTGGTCTCCTCGCCCCCCTCTTCCTTTCCACCTCCCTCCTCCCCCTCCTCCCCCTCCTCCCCCTCCTTCCCCCTCCTTCCCCCCCCCTCCCCTCCCGCTTTCCGCCGCTGCTCGTACTCCGCCGTGCCCCTCCCCCCGCGCGCGGTGCGGCAAGGGGGGCGGGCTCGACCTTTCTCGATCCTCGATCCTTCTTGATCCTCTATCCTCGTCCATCCTCGATCCCCGATCCTCCTCGATCCTCGATCCTTGATCCTTCTCGATCCTCGATCCTCGATCCTTTTCGATCCTCGATCTTCCTCCTCGACCCTCCATCCTATACGATCACCCCGTGCGCGGTGTGGGGAGGCCTGGTGGTCCTTCCTCAGCCCGACGGTCCGGATCCCGAGCACCGGGGCTGCGGAGTGGGCCGGGCCTCCAGGCAGCTCCCCTGGCGGCTGGCCGCGGGCGGGGCGCGGTGGCGGCCGCGGGGGAGGAGGGAGCGGGAGGAGAGAGGGAGGGAAGCGGGAGGAAGCGGGAGGAGGGGGAGGAGGAGGAGGGGGAGGAGGGGGATGAGGATGAGGAGGAGGAGGAGGAGGAGGAGGAGGAGGAGGAGGAGGAGGAGGAGGAGGAGGAGGAGGAGGAGGAGGAGGAGGAGGGAGTGTTTCAATGTAGCCTCTCAGGTAACTGTGCAACCCGTGACGTTTAGTTCAAGGTTATAACCGCCTGACGGCGGTGCAGGACGTGATCACTCGTTCTTCTCGTCGGCTCGAGTGAAGATTTCTTTCTCATTACCGTCGTTCTGTCAACCTTGCATGGTAGCGGAGCGCGGCCATGGTGGCGAGACCAGGAGCTGGAAAACCCACGAGAAGGCAGGAATGTATTGAATACAACCCCGTCAACTTTAGGGTCAATTGTCTAACGGCCAACCAACCAACAGGGCGACCATGAGTTCATCGAGGAAACGCTGCAAGCCAACTACGACGCGATGACACGTTACCTGGATGAGCAAGAGCGCAAAGGTAACCAGGAGTTATCTCATGATCACGATATTTTGATGATTGACATGTTTGGCACATCCAACGCAGCATTACTGGGCATAATCAACGGGGAAAGCAGACGTGATGCAGAAACTGCACTGGTGAGGTCAAGAGTGGCCGAATCTGATACCACGGTCGCCGAACAGAAGGAGACGACAAAGGCGGGTCAGGCCAAAACGATATGCACCACAGGCTCATACGCAAGGGCTCCCCCGAGGGCGCGAAGTTATTCGCGCTTCGCGCTTCGCGGTCCTCGTTCCTCCTCCCCCTCCTCCTCGTCCTCCTTTTCTCCCTTTGGGGGGGCGGCGCGAGAGCGCGAAGTTATTCGCGCTTCGCGCTTCGCGGAGCGCGAAGCGCGAAGTTGGGAGCCCTAGCATACGTGAGTCTCAGGCAATTCCAGTCACACCGGGGACAGGACGTCCGAGCCTCAGCAGGCTACAGGACGTCCGAGCCTTCCGAGAAGGCCCGCCCCCTCTCACCTCTCCTCCGGGCTCGCCGCCAACGTGGGAAACCGTCGGAGAACTTGGATGGTCAACCACTACATCAACGCAAAAACGTGTAACACCCACACGTAAGTATCACCAGCCCTCTGGGCGTAGGTGGCCTAACGATGTCTTGCCCTCCCCTTCCAAATATCCTCCTCCACGAGTGACCATGGGGACAAATAATTGAAGCCCTCCAAATACACTGGGGACAAGAACACATTCCACGAATGAGATGAGCGGCTTCCCAGCGCACTGGCTCAGGTCAACAGTGGAAGCCGCGAGGCCCTCAAAACGTCGAGCTCAGAGCTGGAGGCAGATGCTCGAGCAGTACCTGGCCCCAGCGAGGAGCGAGACAAGATGAGGATGCTAAGCGGGTGCATGACGGCGGCAGAGCATATCCGAGCCTGCTTGGAGACACACAGAGGAACACCAAAGGGATCAAGAGGACATCCTGGACGAAGATGAGATCACCAAGTTGGATGAAGACCTGAGGAACGTATTCACCGAACAAACAATCGGAGGTTGATAGACCTCAGCCTACCCTGACACGCCGATTAGCGAATTGGCCGTTTTCGGTCCGCGAGAGGGCGTCGCGGCCGTCATTTTTGCGGGTCCAGGTCCGTCGGTTTCGGTCCTAGGCTGTTTTCACTAAAGGGAGGTTTACTAAAGCGAGGTTTGTCCACCCGCCGAAAAACAACTGGAACGTATCGAAGCGTGAGGTCAACTGTGTGGAAGGTCCGATCGCCTCCATGGCGATATACAAGTGGTACTCCACGGTAACAGGGGTGACTCGATCGGCCAAGACGCGTTCAGCACTAATCCCGAGAGGCCCAAACTGGATGAACGACACATCAGTTCAACTCGAGCAGTGGAGTGCGCTGGTGGAGTGCGCTGGTGGAGGAGGAGGAGGAGGAGGAGGAGGAGGAGGAGGAGGAGGAGGAGGAGGAGGAGGAGGAGGAGGAGGAGGAGGAGGAGCAGGAAACCGTGGCACTGACCATGATTCGCGCGGGGGGGGGCGAGTCGTGACACAACGCTGCGGACAACTATGAGAGCAGGAGTGGGCAGCCGTGAAGCCCTGACGGGGCGAATCGTGAAACCATGAGGGGGACAGTCGCGAAACCGTGAGGGGGGTAAGTCGTGACACCATGAGAGGGGGCAGCCGTAAAATGGCAGAAAGGGCCGCAGCAAATCTGCTCTTAGGTCAATTGCCTTCGGCGCCACACAATGACAGCACACGTGCCCGCTTTGAACTGCTGCCGGCAGTAAACGTATCCCTCATCTGCCAGCAACAGCTATACCACAGCATGGCAGCACACGTACCCACATTTCAATTGCGAAGGGAAACACACGTACCCACAGCTCAACGGCAGAACGCCCGTAGCAAACGTATCCACATTCCTGTAGCAACCAGCAGCTACACTACAAACGGACCCACATGTCACATACCACGGGCAGCACACGTACCCACATTCCATCATGCATGCCCCGCTCGAGACATGCTCGAAACATGGAGATGCAGGATTGATTCGGGGGTGGCATTTGATTAGCCTGCGGGGGTTGAGCCCGACGAGGCTGGAACATGAACAACAGGCCCTCGAAAGGCTCCCAACAGGCTGGCCCTCGAAGTGCTCCCAGCAGGCCTTCGAACAGCTCAAACCGCTCATCGACCTTGTTGGTCTCTTTTGGCCCTGCCAGGGGTCCTCTGTCGTTGAACTGTGGGCACGGTTGCTGCCCATGGCAGCTGAGATGTGGGCACGTTTGCTGCGGCCCTTCTGTCGTTTTGTACAATTGCACAGCTTACATGCCATCGGCCGTTGCTGCGCAACCTCACGCCGTGCACCCCCCCGCCTGTTGCCCTCAGAACTGCACCACAGGCTGGCAGCAAACGTGCCCAGATTTCAGCTGCCACTGCCAGCGAACGTGCCTACAGCTCAACGGCAGGACGGCCGCAGCAAGCGTACCCACCTTCCAGTAGCCACCAGCGGCTACACAAACGTACGGCAGGTTCGCGTCGTATCGATTGGCGGCGACCCCGCCAGCGGCGTTCAACGTTGAACGCCGCGGGCGACCCAGAATCGTTCGATGTGGAACGATTTGCACGTTTCGGAAACGCCTGATCGTTCAAGGTTGAACGATCCCCGCGGTGTCAGGAGCCAACGCCGAAGTGGACACGCCGCAGACCTGCCGTACTCGACAAGGGCCGTATGCGCGCATGGCACGGGACCAAGATTGAGGCACTCAACGGCATCATCTAGACGGGAGTCCTGAACAGCGACGACGAACACAAAGGCCACCGCTCATTTACTGATATGCCAGGTGTGTACACCTTGTGTGATGTGCGTGCCGACTCATGCCTTTTTTGTACACGCACTTTGTCCCCTGGCTCGGCGACGCTTGAGCGATCCCCGCGGAGTCGGGAACCAACGCCGGGGCTGACACGACACGAACCTGCCGCACCCATACAGTCAACCCGCACAGTTAAGGACGGGCAAGACCTTCCCCAGGGTGCCCCCTGCGTCCCTGCCTCCTCGGTCCGTCCTTCGCCAGCTTCGCTGGCCGCGCCCCGCCCGAAGAGCCTCGAAATGGGCGTCCGAGGCCCTTTGCACCCCTCTCGCGCATCCTCGCCATCACGGTCGACTGCGCGCTGCACCTCACGGGCAGCAGGCGCGCCCGCACGGCAGGCGAGAGGCCCGCCGCAGACGGACCCCCGCACGCCATCGGCCTGCGGCCAGCGACCGCACCGCGGCCGCCAGCGGCTGCCGGCAGCCACCAGCGGCCAGATTACCGGCTTGCCCGCCTGCCAGCAGCCACCAGCGGCCACACTGCAGACCTGCCCGCACGTCACACATCACGGGCAGCAGACGTACCCACACGGCATCGGCCAGAAAACAAACGACACCACCCCACCTGCGGCCTTCCATGTTGCGCTACGGCCCACGGGGGGCCGTAGCGTATACCATGCAAACACCCACGCCAGATGTCCAGGTATACGTTACGGCCTGTGGGGCCGTAGGTGGGGTGGTGTCGTTTGTCTTCTGGTCCAACGGCAGACAGGCCGCAGCAAACGGACCCCCGCGTGTCATCGGCCTTCCGCCAGCGACCGCACCCCAGGTGCAGGCGTGCGTGCTGGGTGCAAATCTGTGCGCGCGTCGGTGGGCGGACAAAAAGTGTCCACACCCATCGCGCCAAGATGATACGACATCGAACTGCGTCGAACAAATATCCACAGCCCCCGTCCCCCCAACCCAAAGTTGACGGGGTTGGAAGCGAGGCAACGCGCGGGGGAAAAACATGGACACTTCAACTTTGGTTTTTGGGGTGAGGGGGGCGAGCCACATGTCCATTGCAATTGTCGTTGCCATCATGCCTGCTTGTCTTCACGCCGTCGGCGTGGACACTTTTTGTCCGGGCAACGGTGCGCACACAAGCTGAGATAAGCGCCGCTTCCCGTTCTTGTCCAGATAGGTCTCTGATAAATGGCCGTTTCGCTCGGGACATCCTCAAACAAATGGCTTCGGAGGGGACTCCGAATCAACATGCTTTTGGAATCGATCTTGGAAGAGCCCACCGTGGCCCAGAAGAGCCCCCAAAGGCCTTTCGGAGGACCCAAAGAGAGCCCCAAGAGGCCCCCAAGAAAGCCCCAGGAGGGCCCCAGACGGCCCAAGACGGGCCCAGATGGCGCCAAGACGGCCTGCGAGAGCCCCCACAGAACCCGAAGACACGCCCAGACATCCCAAGAAGACCCCAGTAGCCCGAAGAGAACCTGGACAGGCCCCCAAGAGGCCCCAAGGATGCTGCCCCAAGATAGTCCCAGACGGCCCCAACTGCCCCCAGGGTAGCCTCAAACGATCACGAGGACCCCCCCCTTGTTCGACATCCTCTTCGTCGGGCTCCTTACCGTCCGGTTCGTCGGCGTCGTCGTCCTTTTTCTTCTCTTTCTCCTCCTCCGCTTCGTTCCTCCTCGTACTCGCTCTTCTCCATCTCTCCCTCCTCGTCCTCGTGCTTGTCTTGTCCTCCTGCTCCCCTCGCTGCACTCCCGTCATCCGCGCCGTCATCCTCGGTATCCGCTTTGTTGTCCCCACTATGAGCCCATTGGACAACATCGGCGCTTCCCGTTCTTGTCCGATCAGGCTCCTCCCAAACAGCGGGCCTCTTGGGGCATGGCATGGCATGGCATGGCATGGCATCGCAGTGCCAGGCGAGGTAAGTGTAGGATGCAGCAGTGAAACAACTGGCTCCGCAAGCCCGACCAGAGCGCCGCGCAGCCTCGGACGGGACGTCGCGCCACAGTGGCATGTTTCAGAAGCCGGGCGACGGCGGGCAAACCCGGGGCTGCTGACACGGAGCTCCGTTTTTTTTTTTTTTTTTTTTTTTTTTTTTTTTTTTTTTTTTTTTTTTTTTTTTTTTTTTCCGCGAAGCAGCCCGTTTACTATTTAGTGCGCTGAGCTTGATTCCGGGAATTTGTTTTTTCTTCCGAGGATGCCGTTTCAGCAGCCACGGATGACGATCCAACAGCACACACCCATACCCATAAGGGGGGTCGGAGATGGCTATGGGTGCGTGCTGTCGGATGGGGGTCCCCGCTCGAACGGGAGCGTTCCCCAGGGTCCGACAACGCGCACCCATACCCATAGCCAGTCCTCCTCGCAACGACCCCGCTATGGGTATGGGCAGGGTCCGACAACGCGCACCCATACCCGTAGCCAGTCCTCCTCCCAACGACCCCGCTATGGGTATGGGTGTGTGTTGTTCGTTCGTCAACGGATTTGCCAGCCCTCGCCCAGCTTCCAAATGTGGCAGGGGTCCAGCGCGCGTGAGGCACTGCGCGTCCTGTGCACAGCAGGAAGCGGCGCTGAAAGGCGCGCTGCGGCAGAGAGCACGGCGGGGCGTGGCACAGCTCGTGCAGGCTCTTCGCGCTGGATTTGTGGCCTGAAGGCCAACCATTTCGGGCGACGACATCTATCTATCAACCAATCTGTCTATCTATGTATATTATTACTACTACTATTATCAGTATTATTATTCGCATTCTTATTCCCTACCTAGGCTCTGCCTAGAGGGTTCTTATTCCCTACCTAGGCCGGGCAGTGGAAAGCGCCCCGGGCGGTTCCCCCATTATCCGCCCCGCGGTTCCCCCAGTTGCGCCCCCTTAGCTTAGCTTTGCTTATCTCATCTGAACTTAGCCTAGCTTAGCTTAGCTTAGCTTAGCTTAACCTAGCCTAGCTTAGCTTAGCCTAGCTTAACTTAGCTTAGCTGAGCTTAGCCTAGCTTAGCTTAGCTTAACCTAGCCTCGCTTAGCTTAGCTTAGCTTAGCCTAGCTTGGCCTAGCCTAGCCTAGCTTAGCTTAGCTTAGCTCAACTGAGCTCAGCTTAGCGCAGCGCAGCATTAGCATAGCATAGCATAGCATATCATATCATATCATACCATAGCATAGCATAGCATAGCGCAGCACAGCATAGCGCAGCACAGCATAGCATAGCATAGCATAACGCAGCATATCATATGATGCCATATCATAGCATACCATAGCTTAGCTTAGCATAGCACAGCGCAGCATATCATATCATATCATAGTATAGCATAGCATAGCATAGCGCAGCGCAGCATAGCACATCATACCATAGCATATCGCAGCATAACATAGCATAGCATAGCACAGCACATCATAGCGCAGCATAGCATAGCATAGCATACCATAGCATAGCACATCGCAGCATATCACATCATAGCATAGCCTAGCACAGCATAGCACAGCGCAGCATAACATATCATATCATAGCGCAGCGCAGCATAGCGCAGCATAGCATAGCATAGCCTAGCATCGTGCAGCATATAATAGCATAGCCTAGCATAACATAGCGCAGCCTAGCATACCCTAGCATAGCATGTCATAGCATAGCGCAACATAGCGCAGCATAGCGCAGCACAGCATACCATAGCACATCATATCATAGCATAGCGCAGTATATCATAGCATAACATAGCATAGCATAGCATAGCATAGCATAGCATAGCATAGCAGGACGGCGTTTACCGTTACTACTAATGTTGCTCTCCTCGGGGCTCCAACTCCTAGGTAGGGTCGCTCTGGGATAAATTATGATTACTATCATCATTTCAATTGTTATGCGTATCGCCCTACATGTGCGAACACCTCGCCAGCCACCGGCTGCTCCCGTTCTCCCGCGGGGCTCGCCCCCGCACTCCGCGAGACGACGGCATGCGGCGACGATGGAGACGTCGGCAGCGACGAAGACGACAAGCAAGACCACAGCCGCTGCCATCCCCTCCCCTCCCCTCCCTGGTGCAAGGGGTGAGGTCCTGACTCCTCTGGCCTGCGGGTGTTGGCCGCGCCAGGCAAGCTCACGCAGGTGCTGTTCGGCAAGCTGCAGGCTCGCGCGCACAGTCCCGCCCCCGCGCGCCTGCTCTCCGCCGTCCCCTCTGCTGCCGTGCGCTGCTGCCGGAGTTTGACCCAGCACGCGCGCGGCTGCTTCGGATGCGGTTGCGCAGCAAGGCGGCGGCGAAGATCTCCAGCCGTGCGCACACTCGGCGGCGCGCCCTTGGGGGGGAAGGCGGAGGGGGGCCCAGCATGCTCAGAAGGCGACGGGGCGTCTCTGACGCTCTCGCGCCTTCTGATCGGGGGCGGCCAAGAGGGGGGTGATGCCTTGGAGGGTAAGTGGATCGTCTTCGAAGGGTCTGGGCTGGTCTGGAGTTGAGGCTCCATGTTTAGTCCCTGGGCTCCCCGAAAAGCTCCCCGCTGATGGAGAGCACCCGCTGGTTCTGCTTGCAGCATCGCCCTCTCGAAGCAGAAACGGGGCTCCCACTTGACACTTCCTGAAAACGACGACGCCCCCAAGTGTGGGGGGGTGTTTCTGCGGTCGGGGGGGCATTTTCTAGATTTTGGGGCCTATTTGGAAGGACCGAAAAAGCCCGCGCTTCAGCGCGAGCACGATTTGGAACAACCAGAGGCGCAAAAATGGGGCCAGCGCTTCAGCGGGAGCAACATTTGGAAACAATACCCAAGCGAAAGCCCATGTCCCAAGAATCCGGTGTGTAAACATGCAATACGCGGAGGGGGGGCGGATATGTTCCAGACGTCATCAGGGGAGAGAGGAGAGTCGTATTCATATGGTGTAATTATGGAGGAGGCGGAGGCGGAGGCGGAGGCGGAGGAGGAGGCGGAGGAGGAGGAGGAGGAGGAGGAGGAGGAGGAGGAGGAGGAGGAGGAGGAGGGAGAGAAGGAGGAGGAGGAGGCGGAGGAGGAGGAGGAGGAGGGGCAGGAGGAACAGCTAGGTGCTCTCGCGTCATATCTGACGTCCTACCCCTCCCTCCCATCCCTTACCATGGCGTAGATATCCTCTCTATTCGCACAATCGGATGTCGTAGCATGGCATAGCATTACATGGCATAGCATGGTGTTGGATATTAACGCGCAGCATGACACAGCATGGCGTGGCGACGCCCCAAAGTGGGGGGGGCGGCTTCCGCAGCCCAAAGAATCAACGAATCGATACCGAATGTGTAATCAGTTCCGATGGTTTCTTCGGGAGGCCATTCTCTAAATTTTGGGGCTTCTTTGGGAGGACCGAAGACCGTGCCGTGGCATGGCATTGGACATAATGATGCCAGCGCTGCAGCGGGAGCACGATTCGGAACGAGCGGAAGCGGGAGCACGAGCCGTAGCCATTTTGGCTCGAGCGATTTTTGCCTCCAGCCGCCAGGCCATCGGCCCGGGCGCCCCGTCCCAGCCAAGCCAGCTTTGAAGAGATGGCTCCGGCGGGCACCGGCCGCAGGAGCAGAGGCTCCTGCCCGGCGGCCGCCCTCGCGCTGGCCGTGGCGTGCCTGCTGGCGCAGGGCCCCCTCGGCTTCCTCCCTGGCGCGGGCCGGGCGGCGAGCCCGGGGGCGCGGAGCCCTCTGGCCGCCCGACCGGACGGGGGACGCCGCGCCCGCGCGCGCGTCGCGAGGGCCGCGCGCCCGGACATGACCCTGGAGGCCGGGTGCAAGGTGAAGGCGCAGTCCCCGGACGACGAGCGCTGGTATCCCGGCAGGATCAAGGAGGCCGACGGCAGCAACTGGGTGGTCGCCTGGGACGACCCCGACGGCGGGCCGGAGACGCACACCCTCTCGGAGGATTGCATCAAGAAGCTGGTCTTCTACAAGGATTACCAGGCCGGCGACGACTGCAGGGCCCTCTCTCCAGAGGACGAGCGATGGTACCCTGGCGTAGTTGCGGAGGTGCTGGCCGAGGACAAGTTCCGCGTCAAGTGGGACGACCCAGATGGGGGCCCCGAGACCGCCGACCTCCACTGGGAGAGCTTGAAGAGGGTCAGGGTCAAGCGGGACTACAAGAAGGGCGACCAGGTGCTCGCCAAGTTTCCGGAGGACGGTATGATGTACGAGGCCGTGGTGCTCAAGGGCAACGACGACGGCACGTTCCAGGTGAAGTGGGACGACCCGGACGGCGGGCCAGAGGACAGCCCCGTGAGCCCCAAGGATATGAAGATCCCGCCCATACCCTTCGACAAGCTCGAGGTCGGCCAGAAGTACACCGGCACCGTGAGGAGTGTCCGGGATTTCGGCGCGTTCGTCGACATCGGCGCCGAGTCCGATGGGCTCCTGCACATCTCCTCCATTTCGACGGACAGGATCGATGACATCTACTCTGAGCTCGAGGAGGACCAGCAGGTCGAGGTCTGGATCAGCGGCCTGCGCGACGACGGCAAGTTCGGCGTGACCATGATTGAGGGTAGAAGGGGCGGCGGCGGCGGCGGTGGCGGGCGAATCCTGACCGACGCCTCCCTGTTCGAAGACAAGATCGACGAGTGGTTCGACGGCGAGGTCGTCAACATCGCCCCCTTCGGCGCGTTCGTCGCCGTCACCCTGGACAGCGGCGAGCAGGGGCAGGGCCTGGTCCACGTGTCCCAGATCGCAGACTCCTTCGTGGAGAACATCAACGACTTCGTCGAGGTCGGTAAGCAGGTTAGGGTGAAGCTCGTCAGGGCGGACACCGAGACGAACAAGCTGAGCTTCACCATGAAGGACGGCGCTGGCGGGTCGCCTCGCGAGGAGAGGGAGCCCGTTGACCTGACCCCCTTCGAGGGGATGGATCCGTCCACCTGGATCACGGGCACGGTGGCGAAATGCGCCAGCTTCGGCGCCTTCGTGGATGTGAAGGCTTAAGTCGGGCCTGTCCCTCTACAGGAGGAAAATTCAAACATAGTCAACAAAATAGCCAGGGGACGATTTCTCGATTATTTTTTGACTATTAAGGGGCATTTCTTCAATATTTTCATTTTTCGTCCAAAATCCGCCTAAAGGGAGACATGCCCGACCTAAGTGAAGGCGCCAGACAGCGACGCCACGGCGAGCGGCCTGGTGCACATCACGCAGATCAAGGATGGGTTCGTGGAGAGCGTGGAGGACGAGCTCGAGGTCGGCCAGGAGGTTCAAGTCCGCGTCATCAGCGTGGATTCTGGGATGGGCAAGATGAGCCTGAGCATGAAACCCGAAGACGCCGAATGAGCGAGTCCTCCACCTCATTCTCCAGGAGGGCCCGACCCCGATACTCGGAGATGCCGAACGGGTAAGTCCCCCACCTCATTCTCAGCCGCCGTTTCATCCTTCCTGTGTTCCTCTGCCTCGAATCCTCGACTCGGCCATGTCGAGGACAACTTTTTGTGACGCCAGCCGTGTGGTTTCCGGGTGCCTCTTTCCTGCGCGTCCCGCGCCGCGTTTGAAATGGCGGCCTCGCGCACGTGTCTCGGGGGTGGACAGAACCCCCAACAGTGACACGTCGATTAGTGAATTGTCCGTTTTCGGTTCTCGAGAGGGCGCCGCGGCCGTTATTTTCCAGGCTTGCGCCCGCCAGGTTTGGGCCTCAGGTCGTTTTCACTAAACCACGTTTTACTACAGGGGGGTCTGTCCATCCCCGAAGGAGGACACGCCCGACCTAAACGAAGCTCGCACACAGGATGACGGGCAAGGGTCGATGGAGAGCGACGGGGGAGAAGAGAAGCTTGGGGAGTGGGGTGTGGGCGGTGCGTCTTGGTTGCCGAGCGGGGACGATGCTGCGGAAGGTCTGTCCATCCCCGAGCGTCGGCGCTGCCCTGCGGCGGCAGCGGCGGCGGGCCAGCTCGTGCGCCGAAGCGCGCGGGCCCGCGCGCCGCGCCGCGCACGACGCGGGCGACCATCTCAAAACCATCTCTGGTGGATCTTGGCTTTGCTCGGATCCCGTGCTTCTACCATAGGGGGTGCGCAGGAGGTTGTCTCTCGCCGCGGCCGCTATCCGTGACGGTCGTCCAGGGCACAGCAGGCATGGCAGATCCTCGACATCTTAAGGGGGTGCGCAGGGGCGGGGGGGGGCACTGGCTGGGACCGCGCGGCGGCACCGGGCCGCGGCGAGGCCCAGCGCCAGAAGGCTCCGGCTCTCTATGCGGAGGCGCCCGCGGCTCGAGAGGAAGAGGAAGAAAAGGGGGGGGGCCCGTTGGCGGCCCCCAGAATCAACGAGTCGGCACCGAATGTGTCATCATTTCCGATTTTTTTTTTTTTTTTTTTTTTTTTTTTTTTTTTTTTTTTTTTTAAAAAGATTTTAAGGACATTCGGAAGGACCGGAAGCTGCCGTGGCATGCCGCTGGAAATAATGACGCCAGCGCTGCAGCGGGAGCACGACTGGGAACCAGCGGACGCGCGGAAATGAGGCCAGCGCTGCAGCGGGAACACGATTCGGAACGAGCGGTAGCCCGAATATGAGGCCAGCGCTTCAGCGAGAGCAGCATTTTGAACAAAAACCCAAGCGTGGAAGCGCGGAAATGAGGAAGCGTAGCCTGACACAGCATGTCGTGGCGACGCCCCAAAGTGGGGGGGGGCTTTTGCGGTCTAGATAATCAACGAATCGAAACCGAATGTGTAATCACTTCCGATGCTTTTTTCCCAGCCATCCTGTGGTGTTGGGTCCTCATTCTGAAGATACGATCCCCGCGTTCCTTCCTTCCTTATTTCCTTCCTCCTCCCCCTCCTCCCTCCTCCCATCCCTGCCTCTGCCCTGCGCATGTCCTCGTCGTCGTCATCATCATCATCATCATCATCATCATCATCATCATCATCATCATCATCATCATCATCATCATCATCATCATCATCAGCATCATCATCAGCAGCATCATCATCATCATCGTCATCGCCATCTCATCGGCATCACCATCGTCGACGTCAGGATCACCGTTATCGTCACCAGCATCGCCACCAATTTCGCTACACCCCTTCCACGTTTCGTGGCCCCACAGGGAGCCCATCGAAGGCCTCAGTGGCGGTGTTCGCATGCGTTTCCCACACCAGCACAGGGTTTCGCGGCCCCATAGGGAGGGCCACCTAAGTAAGGCCCTAGTGTCGGTGTTCGCATGCGTCTCCCCCACCCAGCACATCGTTTCGCTGGCCCCAGAGGGAGCTCCACCTAAGGCCCCCGTGGTGGTCGCATGCGTCTCCCCCGCCCAATACGGCGTTTCGTGGCCCTGTAGGAAGCCCCACCTAAGGCCCCAGTGGCGGTGCTCGCATGCGTCTCCTCCATCCAGGACAGCGTTTCGCGGCCCCACATCGAGCTCTACCCAGGGCCCCAATGGCCGTGTTCGCATGCGTCTCCCCCACCCAGTACAGCGCGCCGTGGCCCCACAAAGAGCTCCACCTAAGGTCCCACTGGCGATGTTCGCATGCGTCTCCCCCGCCCAGCACAACATTCCGTGGCCCCATGGGGAGCTCCACCTACGGCCCCAGTGGCGGTGTTCGCATGCGTCTGTCCCACACAGCACACCGTTTCGTGGCCGCACAGGGAACTCCACCTGAGGTCCCAGTGGCGGTGTTCGCATGCGTCTCCCCCGCCCAGGACAGCCTTTCGTGGCCCCACATCGAGCTCCACCGACGGCCCCAGTTGCGGTGTTCGCACTCGTCTCCCCCACCCAGGACAGCGTTTCGTGGCCCCACAGGAAGCTCCACCGAGGGCCCCAGTGGCGGTGTTCGCATGCGTCTCCCCCGCCCAGGACAGCGTATCATGGCCCCACAGGGAGCTCCACCTCAGGCCCCCGTGGTGGTGTTCGCATGCTTCTTGCCCACCCAGCACAGCGCTTCGTGGCCCCATAGGGGGCTCCACCCAAGGCTCGTGTGGCGGTGTTCGCTCCCCCGCCCAGCACAGCGTTTCGTGGTCCCACAGGGAACTCCACCTAAGGTCCCAGCGGTTCGTGGCCCCATGAGGAGGTCCACCCGAGGCCCGAAGGGCGGTGTTCGCATGCGTCTCCCCCACCCAGGACAGCGTTTCGTGGTCCCACAGGGAGCTCCGCCTAAGGCCTCGGTGGCGTTGTCTGCATGCGTCTCCCCCGCCCAGGACAGCGTTTCGTCGCCCCACAGGGAACCCCACTTGAAGCCCCAGTGGCGGTGTTTGTATCGGTCTCCCCCTACCCAACCGACGAGTCGGACGGCCTCATCTACGTTGGCAAGATTCTCTTTGTGAGCAGGAGCAGTAGGTAGTGCAGCCTCTGTCCTCTCTCTCTCTCTCTCTCTCTCCCTCCCCTCCTCCTCCTCCTCCTCCTCCTCCTCCTCCTCCTCCTCCTCCTCCTCCTCCTCCTCCTCCTCCTTGTCTAGTCTGATCAGTTGCCACATGTATCTTTTGTCCATGCGCGCAGTCTTCCACGCATGCTGTACACTTATGTCCCGCCTGCCCCTCAGGGGACCGCTCCGCCGGAGCTGGCACGCAGGCTGAACTGAACTGAACTGAGCTCCCCCTGCCCAGGACAGCGTTTCGCGGCCCCACAGGGAACTCCAACTGGGTGGAGCGAACTGCAGAGCTGCGGGGCCCTGCATGGCCTACTGCAAAGCAGGCGCCGCCTCGTGGCCCACAGAGGGAGACACCGTCACACATTTCGCGCCCCCCCCACAAACAAAGAAACACCACCGAAGATTATACACGCGGTCGCGGTGCCTACAGCTGAAAATCGTTGGGTCTTTCGCCAGGTTACTTTCGGGTGGCCGTTCTCTAATTTTCATGTTTATTTCCCAGCGTTCCTGTGGTGTTGGGTCTTCGTTTTGAAGAGACAGCGCCCCGCGTTCCTTCCTTCCTTCCCTCCTTCATTCCTTCCTCGTCCCCCTCCTCCCTTCTCCCATTCCTGCCTCTGCCCTGCGCATGTCCTCGTCGTCGTCATCATCATCAGCAGCATCACCATCATCACCGTCATCACCATGCCATCGTCGTCGTCATCACCATCATCATCGACGTCATGATCACCACCGTTGTTGTCACCATCGTCGCCACCAATTTCGCCACACCCTTTACATGTTTTGTGGCCCCACAAAAAGGGGCCCCATCCAAGGCCTCAGTGGCGGTGTTCGCATGCGTTTCTCCCACCCAGCACAGGGCTTCGCGACCCCATAGGGGGGGGCCGCCTAAGGCCCTGGTGGCGGTGTTCGCGTGCGTCTCCCCCGCCCAACGCAGCGTTTCGCTGGCCCCATAGGGAGTTCCACGGCGTTTCGTGGCCCCATGCGGAGCTCCACTGAAGGTCTTAGTGGCGGTGTCCACGTGCGTCCCCCCCACCCAGTGCAGCGCTTCGTGGCCCCATAGGGAGCTCCGCCGAAGGCCCCAGTGGCGGTGTCCACATGCGTCTCCCCCACCCAGCACTGCGTTTCGCGCCCCCATAAGGAGGTCCACCGAATTCCCCGGTTGCAGTGTCCACATGCGCCCCCCTTGCCCAGTACAGCGCGTCGTGGCCCCATAGGGAGCCCCACCGAAGGCCCCAGTGGCGGTGTCCACGTGCGCCTTTCCCACCCATCACAGCGTCTCCTGGCCCCATATGGGGGCTCCACCGGAGGGCTTAATTGCGGTGTCCACATTCGCCCCCCCCACCCAGCACAGCGCTTCGTGGCTTCATAGGGAGCTCCACCTACGGCCCCAGTGGCGGTGCCCACGTGCGTCTCACCCACCCAGTGCAGCGCTTCGTGGCCCCATGGGAAGTTTCACCGAAGGCTCCAGTGGCGGTGTCCACATGCGTCTCCCCACCCAGTACAGCGCTTCGTGGCCCCATAGGGAGCTCCACCTACGGCCCCAGTGGCGGTGTCCACATGCGTCCCCCCACCCAGCACGGCGTTCCGTGGCTTCATAGGGAGCTCTACTGAAGGCTCCCGTGGAACAGTTCACATGTTTCTCCCCCGCCCAGCACAGAATTTCGTGACCCCTCGGGAGCTCCCCTAGTTCCCAGTGGCGGTGTTCACGTGCGTCTGCCCATCCAGCACAGCCTTTCGTGGCCCCATAGGGAGCTCCACCGAAGGCCCCAGTGGCGGTGTCCACGTGCGTCTCCCCCACCCAGCACAGCGCTTCGTGGCCCCATGGGGAGTTCCACCGAAGGCTTCAGAGGCGGTGTCTACATGCGTTCCCCCCACCCAGTGCAGCCCTTCGTGGCCCCATATGGAGCTCCGCCGAAGGCCCGAGTGGCGGTGTTCACGTGCGTCTCCCCCGCCCAGTGCAGCGCTTCGTGGCCCCCATAAGGAGCTCCGCCGAAGGCCCCAGTGGCAGTGTCAACATGTGTCTCCCCACCCAGCCTTGCGTCTCGGGGCCCATAGGGAGCTCTACCTACGGCCCGAGTGGCGGTGTCCGCATGCGTCTCCCCCACCCAGTACAGCGCGTCGTGGCCCCATAGGGAGCTCCACCGAAGGCCCCAGTGGCGGTGTCCACGTGCGTCTTTCCCACCCAGCACAGCGTGTCGTGGCCCCACAGGGAGCTCCACCGAAGGCCCCAGTGGGGGGTCCACAGTCGTCTCCCCCACCCAGCACAGCGTTCCGAGGCCCCATACGGAGCTCCACAGAAGGTCCCAGTGGCGGTGTCCGCATGCGTCTCACCGACCAGGTGCAGCGCTTCGTGGCCCCATGGGGAGCTCCGCCGAAAGCCCCAGTGGCGGTGTTCACATGCGTCTCCCTCACCCAGTACAGCGCGTCGTGGCCCCATAGGGAGCTCCACCTACGGCCCCAGTGGCGGTGTCCACATGCGTCCCCCCACCCAGCACGGCGTTCCGTGGCCTGATAGGGAGCTCCACCTACGGCCCCAGTGGCGGTGTACACCCCACCCAATACAGCGTTTCGAGGCCCCCTCGGGAGCTCCACAGAAAGCCCCAGTGGAGCAGCTCACATGCGTTTCCCCCGCCCAGGGGAGCTCCACCGGAGGCCCCAGCGCGTCACCCCCGCCCAGGGCAGCTTCTCGTGGCCCATAGGGAGCTCCACCGAAGACGATACCCACAATTGCGGTACTCACCACTGCATATGGTTGGGTCCTTCGCAAGGCTAATTGAAAGGACCAGAAACCATGCTGTGGCATGGCGCCGGAAATAATGACGCCAGCGCTGAAGCGGGAGCACGATTTGGAACGAGCGGAAGCTTGGAAATGAGGCCAGGGCTGCAATGAGAGCACGATGTGGAACGAGTGGTAGCCCGAACATGAGGCCAGCGCTTCAGCGAGAGCAGCAGTTGAAAAAGCACCCAAGCCAAACTCAACTCCCGGGAATCCTGTGTGCAAAAATAGCAGTACGCGGAGGGGGGCCGAACAATCCCTGGACGCCACCAGGGGAGAGAGGAGAGTAGTATTCATATTGTTTAATTGTGGAGGAGGAGGAGGAGGAGGAGGAAGCGGAGGACGAGGAGGGGGAGGAGGAGGAGGAGGAGGAGGAGGAGGAGGAGGAGGAGGAGGAGGAGGAGGAGGAGCTGGAGGAACTCGAGGAGGAAAATGCGATGGAAGGGGATGCGGAAGAGGTGATAACGGATGTGTGCAGGGCGTCGGCTATTTTTTGTTTGCTGCATTTCCGTGATTTTGATTTGTTTCTGCGGGATGCGCGCATGGTGGGGGGAAGCAGGATATTGAGGAGTGGGCAGGATGAGGAGGAGGAGGAGGAGAAGGAGGAGGAGGAGGAGGAGGGAGGGAGGGAGGGAGGGAGGGAGCGATGATTATGAGGAGGAGGGGGGGCCCAGTCCCACTCTGGGCCCAAGATCTGGCCAGTCGAGGTGCTCCCAGTGTCGCGCGCGGGGGCGCACGGATCAAATCGCGCCTCTCGCGGCGCGCTCTAAAGGCCAGGGGAGCTGCCTTGCTGCCAGAGGGCCGCGCCAGAGCGTGAAGATACTGATGACCACCTCGCGCGTGGCGCGGGGCGACACGCGAAGGTGGGTGACGCGGGTCTCGGCACGGACCCGCGGCCCCCAGTGACAGCGAGCTGAGTCACGAGTCTCTCAGAGGAGGAAAAGGTACCCATACCTCTAGGCTTCGGCCGTTTTCCCCTTTTTGGGCCTCCTCGGAGGATCTCGTCGCCACCGCTGTACTCGCCTCGAGATTCTGGTCAGAACGCACCCATGGAGAGGTCCGGGGAGTAGCGGTATCAGTACCTTTTGGTTTCCCCAGTCTCAGGGCCAGTCGTCTGAGACCAAGCACGGCATTCGGAGAAGCAGCCCACCACGTGCTGCCACGCTTGGCCTCGCGCGGGAGTCTTCTGTGGCAGGACCTGTCCAGGCTCTGCGAGGCACGTCGGAGCGACGACGAGCACCCGAGAGGAAACCCGCGCGCCCTCCCGCAGATGCCCCTCTGGGTGCTGGAGTACTGGGGAGACTACGAGCAGGCTCTCGTCTACAGATGCGTGCAGGTGCACCTCGCACTTTTGGAAGGCAGGGAGGAGGTAGAGTAGAGGGAGCGCTTGAGAGATGGTAAATGCTTGCGTGCGTGCGTGCGGTGTGTGTGTGTGTGTGTGTGTGTGTGTGTTTGTGTGTTTGTGTGTTGGTTCACTTGCCAATGTCTATCGCTCTTAGAGGAATTCGTACAGCCTTAGCATGTTCGGGAGAGTAGATGCTTATACTCTTGGGGGAGCATGTCACATCCCCCCTGTCTCTGCGGCTGCCTGTCTCTCCGATTGCCACTTTCGCTGCGAATGCTATTGTGGCCGCTCGGGCCGTCGGACGGCGCCAGTTCTCTACGCTCAATTGCACTCAATTTCCGTTAGTTCTGTTCAATTTCCCTCAGTTGCAGTCTGCTTTCTCCAGTTACATTCAGTTTCCTTCACATATATATATATATATATAGATATATTCAGTTTCCCTCAGTTGCATTCTGTTTTCTTCAGCTACACTCAGTTTCCAGATGTTACATTATGTTTTTTCCTTTGCATGCAGCTGCCTTAGTTGCACCCAGCTTTTCCTTCACATTCAGTTTCCCTCAGTTGCACTCAGTTTTTCTTTACAGTCAGTTTCATGGAATTCAGCTTCCTGTAGTATGCACAGTTTCCCTCAGTTGCATTCAGCTTGTCTTGAACTATATTCGCTTCCCCATTTGCTTCAGCGCAGACTGCAAGACAGTGAGGGGAAACTTGGTGTAAAAGGGGGCGTTCCGTTATTCACACCTTCTGCTTCTTCTTCCTCCAGTAGCAAGAAGCCGAGGGGAAACTGAGTGTAACAGGGCCCGCCCCGCTACCTACAGTCAGTGGACTATTCATTGGCTATGAACTTTAATGAGCATATCATATCGGGCAGATTTTAGGTCCAACGTCTTGTTTTCAACCTCGTTGCATCCGTAGCCGCTTTGGCTCTAGTGGCACGCTTTCAGGACGCGCCATGGTGTGGGCGGAATGCGGCTGTGGACCGACGGCCGACGACCGAGACGACGACGACCGACGACGACGACGACCGAGACGACGACGACCGCCAACCGACAGACGCAAACGACGACGACCGATCGACCGACCGACCCCACCGAGACGACGACCGATGCCGACCGACGGACCGACCGACCGATGGAGCCAGACGACGACGACGAGGACCGACGAGGACGACCGACGGACCGACTGACTGACAGACGAGCGCGCGGACTGACCCAATTTGGGAGCGAGGCGTGGATACAATGCTTGACATTTCCTCGCGCCAGCTGGCCCAACATCTAGGGCGCCCCCCATCCGCCCTGGACTTTCCCCCGCGCGTGCTGGGTCAAAGTCTAGGGCGCCCCTCTCCCGCCCTAAGACCCCCGCCCCTGGCCAGTCCCCCTCCCCTCCCCCCGACTTATGTCTTTTTCCCAACCATCCTGTGGTGTTGGGTCTTCGTTTTGACGGGACAGCGCCACGCGTCTTGTCCCCCTCTCTCCTCCTCCCCTTCCTCCTCTCGCCCGTGCCTCTGCCCTCTGCGTGTCCACCATGTCAGCGCACCCAGCATGTGGGGCGATCTTGGGGGCCTTTTGGGCCGTCTTGGGCCTTCAGGAGGCCGAAAAGGCGAGAAAGCAGAACCCTCGGGACAGTGGGGGGTTTTAAAGGACTCGTGGGCTGTATGGAGGCTATCTTGGGCGTTCTGGACGGATCGCTCGGCGGTTCGAGGCCCTGTTGGAACGTCTCGGGGGCCTCTTGGGGCACTCTTGGCCTGGCCCGTCTTGGGGCCTCGTTGGGCTCCGGGACCTCCAGGCGGACCGTACTGTGACCGGGGAACCCGCCCCAGGACCCCCTCTCCACACCCCCTCCAGGACCCTCCCCAGCGGGGAAGGGATCAAAGGCAAGGGGCTTCCCTTCGACTCAAGTACGACGTTACTCAATTTTGCTTTGGCTGGCGCGTTTGAGGGGGAGAATAGGGAAAAGGAGGGAAAGGAGAAGGAGGAGGAAGAGGAGGAGGAGGAGGAGGAGGTGGAGGAGGAGGCGGAGATGATAATGATAATGATGATGATGATGATGATGATGATGATGATGATGATGATGATGATGATGATGATGATGATGATGATGATGATGATGATGATGATGATGATGATGATGATGATGATCTGATGCTGATGCTGATGCTGATGCTGATGCTGATACTGATGCTGATGCTGATGCTGATGCTGATGCTGATGATGCTGATGATGCTGCTGCTGATGATGATGATGATGATGATGATGATGATGATGATGATGATGATGTTGATCATTACATGATGATGATGATGATGATAATGATGATGATGATGATGATGATGATGATGATGCTGATGACGATGACGATGACGATGATGATGATGATGATGATGATGATGATGATGATGATGATGATGATGATGATGATGATGATGATGATGATGATGATGATGATGATGATGATGATGATGATGATGATGATGATGATGATGATGATGATGATGATGATGATGATGAGGAGGAGAGGAGGAGGAGAGGATGCTGATGCTGATGCTGATGCTGATGCTGATGATGATGCTGATGTTGAGGATGAGGATGGATGAGGATGGGATGATGATGAGGATGAGGGGGAAGAGGATGAGGAGGAGGAGGAGTAGGAGGAGCAGAAGGAGAGGAGGGAGGAGAGGGAGGAGGAGGAGGAGAGGAGGGAGGAGAGGAGGAGGAGGAGGAGGAGGGGGAGGTGGGCCATGGACGGGGGGTGAGCGGCGACGGCTACGGCGACGGCGACGGCGACGGCGACGACGACGACGACAGTGTCTTTCGACAAGCCCCGACTGGCTTCTCGCTCGCAGCGACAGGGTCGGCGGATTTCTTTACGAGGGATCGTGACCTCGGGAGCACGAAACTGTACTTCTTACGAAGTTCGGGAGCGAGGGCACACGTTTTTTTGATGAGATTTTTCCCAACCCTCCTGTGCTGGGTTCTCGTTTTGAATAGAGCAGTTTGGTCTCCACCTCCTCCTCCCCTCCTCCTCCTCCTCCTCCTCCTCCTCCTCCTCCTCCTCCTCCTCCTCCTCCTCTCCTCTCCTCCTCCTCTCCTGTTTCCTGTGTTCCCTTCTCCTCTTCTCTCGTGTCGTCTAGTTCCTGATTCCTGCTTCGCCGTCTTGTCTGTTGGGTGGGCGCCTAGGGGTTGCGACACTTTCGTGGGCTCCTGGGAGGCCCAGCGGAGGTACCTCATACGCAGGTCACCACTATAGCTCGCGGTGCCCAGGGGGGCTGCGATCTGCCAAACTGTCGCCAGTTTCGTGGGCTCCTGGGAGGCCCAGCGGAGGTACGTCATACGCGGACCACCTCGAGACCTCGCCGCCCCCTGGGGGGCTTGCGATCTGCGCAATTGTCGCCACTTTCGTGGGCTCCTGGGAGGCCCAGCGGAGGTACGTCGTACGCGGACCACCTCGAGACCTCGCCGCCCCCTGGGGGGCTTGCGATCTGCGCAATTGTCGCTGCTTTCGTGGGCTCCTGGGAGGCCCAGCGTAGGTAGGTACGTCATACGCGGACCAGCTTGAGACCTCGCCGCCCCCTGGGGGGCTTGCGATGTGCGTAATTATCGCCACTTTCGTGGGCTCCTGGGAGGCCCAGCGGAGGTACGTCATGCGCAGATCACCTCGGGACCTCGCCGCCCCCTGGGGGGCTTGCGATCTGCGCAACCGTCGCCACTTTCGTGGGCTCTTGGGAGGCCCAGTGGAGGTACGTCATATGCGGACCACCTCGAGACCTCGCCGCCCCCTGGGGGGCTTGCGATCTGCGCAACTGTCGCTGCTTTCTTGGGCTCCTGGGAGGCCCAGTGGAGGTACGTCATACGCGGACCAGCTTGAGACCTCGCCGCCCCCTGGGGGGCTTGCGATCTGCGCAACCGTCGCCACTTTCGTGGGCTCCTGGGAGGCCCAGCGGAGGTACGTCATACGCAAATCACCTCGGGACCTCGCCGCCCCCTTGCGATCTGCGCAAATGTCGCTACTTTCGTGGGTTTCTGGGAGGCCCAGCGGAGGTACGTCCCACGCGGACCACCTCGAGACCTCGCCGCCCCCTGGCGGGCGTGCGATCTGCGCAACTGTCGCACTTTTGTGGGCTCCTGGGAGGCCCAGCGGAGGTACGTCGTACGCGGACCACCTCGAGACCTCGCCGCCCCCTGGGGGGCTTGCGATCTGCGCAACATCGCCACTTTCGTGGGCTCCTGGGAGGCCCAGCGGAGGTACGTCATACGCGGACCACCTCGAGACCTCGCCGCCCCCTGGGGGGCTTGCGATCTGCGCAACTGTCGCACTTTCGTGGGCTCCTGGGAGGCCCAGCGGAGGTACGCCATACGCGGACCACCTCGAGACCTCGCCGCCCCCTGGGGGCTTGCGATCTGCGCAATCGTCGCCACTCTCGTGGGCTCCCGGGAGGCCCAGCGGAAGTACGTCGTACGCGGACCACCTCGAGACCTCGCCGCCCCCTGGGGGGCTTGCGATCTGCGCAACTGTCGCTGCTTTCGTGGGCTCCTGGGAGGCCCAGCGGAGGTACGTCCCACGCGGACCACCTCGGGACCTCGCCGCCCCCTGGGGGGGTCGCCACTTTCGTGGGCTCCTGGGAGGCCCAGCGGAGGTACGTCGTACGCGGACCACCTCGGGACCTCGCCGCCCCCTGGGGGGCTTGCGATCTGCGCAATTGTCGCCACTTTCGTGGGCTCCTGGGGGGCTCAGCGGAGGTACGTCCCACGCGGACCACCTCGGGACCCCGCCGCCCCCTTGGGGGCTTGCGATCTGCGCAAATGTTGCCACTTTCGTGGGCTCCTGGGAGGCCCAGCGGAGGTACGTCCGACGCGGACCACCTCGGGACCTCGCCGCCCCCTGTGGGGCTTGCATTGAACGGTCCTGAATTGAATCGCCACATGTGTAGAAAGGGTTGGGTACGTCGCAGGGTAATTACTCTCAACCATCCTGTGGAGTTGGGTCTTCGTTTTGAAGAGACGGCGCCCCGCGATCTCTTCCCGCCTCCTTCCTCCCCCTCCTCCCTCCTCCCTGCCTTTCACCCACTCAGTACAGCGTTCTGTGGCCCCATAGAGGGCTCCACCGAAGACCCCAGTGCTGCCGCCCGCATGCGTCACGCACACCCAATTCGGCGCACCCCTCACACGTTTCGTGGCCCCATAGGGAGCTCCACAGGAGGCCCCAGTGCCACCGCCCGCATGCGTCACGCACGCCCACTTCAGCACACCCCGCACGTTTCGTGGCCCCACACGCTGCTCCACCGAAGGCACCAGTGCCACCGCCCGCATGCGTCACGCACACTCATTTCGTCACTCCTCACGCGTCTCGTGGCCCCACAGGGAGCTCCACCGAAGGCCCCAGTGCCACCGCCCGCACGCGTCACGCACACCCAATTCGGCACACCCCTCACACGTTTCGTGGCCCACAGGCAATTCGACCGAAGGCCCCAGTGCCACCGCCAGCATGCGTCACGCGCACAAAATTCGGCACGCCCCTCACACGTTTCGTGACCCCACAGGGAGCTCCACCGAAGGCCCCAGTGCCACCGCCCGCATGCGTCACACACACACACACATACCGAATTCGGCACACCACACACACGTTTCGTGCCCCCCACAGGGAGCTCAACTGAAGGCCCCAGCGCCACCGCCCGCATGCGTCACGCACACCCATTTGGACACACCCCTTACACGTTTCGTGGCCCCACAGGGAGCTCCACCGAAGGCGCCAATGCCACCGCCCGCATGCGTCACGCACACCCAATTCGGCACACCCCTCACACGTTTCGTGGCACCATAGGGAGCTCCATAGAAGGCCCCAGTGCCACGGCCCACTTGCGTCACCCACGCCCATTCTGACACACCCCTCACACGTTTCGTGGCCCCACAGGTAGCTCCACCGAAGGCGCCAGTCGCTGCGTTCGCACGCGCCCATCCTCTGCCCGCTTTGCTCCCGGGCCGTGGCTCGAGGAGCGCCGACTCACAGGTAGCGCACGACGGAGCGTGGCCCCGGGAGCGCGGATCTGTCTTCTTTTGCCACAGCCGCGGCCTCGGGAGCGCGGCTCCATGGCTCTGTGCGGGAGGCTGTGCTTTCGGGCGCGACGGTCCATAGCTCTTGCGATCGATCGTGGCCTCGAGGGTTTTGCTGCGGGTGGTCGTGGCTTGGGGAGCGCGGGCATCTTCATGTGTCCAACAGGACTCAGGAGTTGAGGAAACGTGGTTCGGTCTTGGCTGACGGGTGACTTCGGGCTGAGGGGGAATGCGCGCATCCTCAGACATTTCGAACCCAAGTTGTTGTGTTCCCAAGATTGCTGCAACGCTGTGAACTTCCTCGCTGTGGTGATAAAGACTCACCCGAGCAGGTGCTGAGAGAAGCCTCGCATCCGCATGACCCCCGCAAGGGGGGGCGGCTGACTTCCACCACGACGTATTCTTCAGGCTCATATTTCGAATTCGGATCTTCAGCGCTGCTTCGGCTTCACAAGAAGGCTCCCTCAAATGCGAACGCTGGGACAAATCTGAGGAAGGCGAAGCTCGCAGACGCCCACATCGGTGTCGTCGTGCCTTGCTTGGACTCCGCTGTCGCCTCGTATCTCGCTCTCTCTGTCTCTCTGTCGGTCGGTCGGTCTGTCTCCCTCTCTCTCTATATATATACGTATGTTGTTGTACAGGCCTTTGGCCAGTGTCGCCAGCGACGCTCCGGGATGTTCCTTGCGAACTCGCCCTGTTTAAGCATTTGTGAGCTTTACCTCGAGGAGGCAGGAGGGAGGATGGGGGGAAAGGAGGAGGCGGAGGAGGAGGAGGAGGAGGAGGAGGAGGCGGAGGAGGAGGCGGAGGAGGAGGAGGAGGAGGAGGAGGAGGAGGCGGAGGAGGAGGCGGAGGAGGAGGAGGAGGAGGAGGAGGAGAGGAGGAGGCGGAGGAGGAGGAGGGAGGAGGAGGAGGCGGAGGAGGGAGGAGGAGGAGGAGGAGGAGGAGGAGGAGGAGGAGGAGGAGGAGGCGGAGGAGGAGGCGGAGGAAGGGAAGGAGGTTGTTGGCCTTCGCCGTAGGCAGTATCTGTGGAATGGAAGGCTCGCGTCGTGCCCGCCTGCCGAGCTCGATGGCGGACGGGCTCCCCGACGGCTTGGCTCGCTGCTCGGCCGTCGGGCCTGGGAGCTCCAGCCGGCCCTGCGGCCTCTGGCACCGGCCCCGGTCTTGATGGGCATGTTTTCCACCACCACCACCATAAGTTGGAGTGGGGGGTCCTCCTCCTCCTCCTCCTCCTCCTCCTCCTCCACCTCCTTCCCCCCTCCAACTTATGGTGGTGGTGGTGGAAAACAGGCCCATCAGGTCTGGGCCCCAGAACTGGCCCCAGGCCCTGGCCCCGGCCCCTGTCTCAGTCCCGGCCCAGGCTTCGGGCCTTGGGCGTTGCTTACTGGGGGGTCGTGAATGGGGGGGGGGGTGGCGAGGGTGGTCCGAAAAGGTACCCAGACGAGCCCCCTGGGGCTCCGGAGCGGCCCGAAAGGGGCACGAGAGGGGACCGTTTCTGACCCCCCCATTCCCAGAGATCCGATGTCGTGATTTTTGTAATACGGGCTCCCTGGAAGTAAGTCTCGACCCATCCCCCAGGACCGGCTTGTCGTCCTGAGTCGTTTTTTGACGGTCCCGAGGCCCTGCGAGGGCCTCTAGAGGTCGAAATGGTGAAAAACCTCCGTCTTTGATTTTTTCAATGCGCTGGACCTCTGGGTTTTTGACCCCCCCATTCAGCCACGCCCAAGGGCCTGGCCCCGGCCCCGGCCTAGGCCCCGGCCCTGGCCCCGGCCCTGGCCCAGGCATCGGCCCTGGCTCCAGTCGTTGGTCCGGGCCTCTGGCCCCCGGCGCCCCGGCCCCCGGCGCCCCGGCCCCCGGCTCCCCGGCCCCGAGCCCGGCCCTGGCCCCGGAGAAATTGCGTTCCGACGCCCCACCCTCAGCACAGGGTAGCTTTCATGAAAGTAGTTTTTTTGTTCTCTCTCTCTCTCTCTCTCTTTCTCCCTCTCCGCTCTCGCTCGATCTCTTCTCTCTCATTGCTCCGTGCTCTCCGTCTGTAGCAGATCGCCCTGTCCACGCGCCGTGCCTCCCGCCATGCCCTCGGCAGGTCGGGCCCTTCAGGCAGGAGTACATCCACTTCCTCTCGCGAGAAGCGTTTGTGCCGGACAAGACCCGTGTGGACATGGAGTCTGGGATGTTTGGGTGTTCCTTGGGGGAGGACAAGGTCCCCATACTGTTACACTTCCTTCGTGTTCCCCTTTTTGGGCCTCCTGGGAGGCCCTCGTCGCCATCGCTGGATTCGCCTCGAAATTCTGGTCAGAACGCACCCTGGGAGAGGTCTGGGGAGTAGCGGATTGGTAATTCTTGGTTTCCCCAGTTCAGTCGACCATGCCGAACTGACGCCATGTCCAGATCGACATGCCGTAATCCCCCGACCCGATTTCCCCTGATCCGGCGCACTCGTTGCTGGGGTCCAGAAGTTTGCAGCATGACCTGCCCGATGCGCGCCGACGCGCCTGAGAAACATGACACGAAGGAGGCGTGTGCTAACCAATGTGAGCTTCAGTGCAGAATGTTTTGTATGTTGTTGATGCTCATTTCCACCACATTTTTCTACGTTCGTGTCCTACGCACCTGCGGGTATTTGGCTTCTTGCTTGCCTGCTTGCTTGCTGACCAGTGTGAGAAGTGCGGGGCGAGCGGGGCAGTCTGGATGTGCAAGCGGCGTTCAGCGAATGTATCATCGGGACACCGATGTTTTCCGCCAGGACTGTTCACATCCGCGTGAGTGTTTTTTCGAGCAAGGGATCGACTACATAATTGATTTACTCCAGAATTGGTTCTCCCGCCATTTGTATATAAATATTTATATATATAATTATCATTATACTTATTTACAAGAGCTATGCAGACTGTTCGTAGATCTACGGGACTTTCTACGTTTTTTTGGTCGTCGATTCTGCGGGGAGACGAGCCTTTGGGGTGCATCAGTTTTGCAGTCGATCCCCTTCTCGAGCTCCGGGCGGGTGGATGACGTGGGGCGACGTGCCCGTGCCAGCGGTGGCTCGACCGGGAATTGCAGCTTTCGCAATTCGGAAGTCAGGAGGGGGAAAAACACACAGACACAATTAATCGTCGATCCCACAGAAAATATGGGAAAATATGGGAAGTGGGGGGAAGACAAAAACCCAGAAAATATAAGAAAATATAGGGAATCCTGTTATTTGTGTGTATTCATTTGTGTGTCCCAGGGCCCCTTCAGGAAAGCCATGCCGACAGATGCACTGTACGAGGGCGGAACGGAGCAGGAACGAGGGAGGAGCAGGCACGAGCGAGCAGGATGGAATTTGCCGGCGTTCGCCGCGGGCAGCATTTGTGGCAACGAGCAGGATGGAAGGATGGGGGATTGTAGGATTATGATGTTCCAAACTACTTTAGCCTTGAGCGCCAGAAAGAATTTCGAGCGCACCCCAAAACTCGAGGGTTTTCACGTGTCGGGGTCTGGGTGACACTGTTTCGACACTCTTTCGACACTCTTTCGGCACTTTTCTGGGAGCTCGAGATTATTTCTGGGATGTGGTCCTTAAGTACGATGGGAGCAACATAACTGTAGCAGGGAGGCAGGGGGTGGGAGCCGTCTCTGGCAAACTCTCAGCCCTCGGCATCACTGGCCCCCCCTGCTGGACTGGCCCGAGTTGTCTGCGGTCAGCTGCACTGCTGCAGTCACCGCCGCAGCCTCCCTCGCAACAACCCCTCGTCACTCATCTTCTTCCGTGCCCTCTGCGACCTCGTTATTTTCCTCCTCCCACAGAGAGGGAGGGTGAGATAGGGGGCAGATAGGATTGCTCCCCGTGGCCGAGGACAACCGTAGCCTTGACTGCTGGAGGCGGCATTCTTCAGACCCCCGACGTCGTCGTTCTTCATCCCAAGTCGCTTTGTGACAGCCCGGGGGCCCGTCACGGCCACCCCGAGGCCGAGAGCAGCCATAAAACTCCAGTCATTCCCAACTCTCTTGCGTTGGATTCTTAAACAGAGCACTGCGGTTGCTCCCTTTTCCTCTCTTTCTTCCTCCCCTCTTTCCTCTCTTACTTGGCCTGCACCTGCCTTCAGCCTGCCTCTTACCTCGCCGCCCTGCGAAATTGTCGCCACTCTCGAGGGCTGTTGGGGTGTCAGCGGAGCGACGCCCCACGCAGACCTCAACTAAGCCTCGCCATCCCTGGGGGGCTGCGATCTGCGAATCTGTCGCCACTTTCGAGGGCTGCCGGGACCCACCTCCCCCGAAGGCCCCCCCCGCCACCGCCCGCTGTCCCCGCTGTCCCACAGCAGCCCGGTGCTTCTCTCCGCCTCGACCACTTTATTTTTTTTCGCGTCGCAGCTACGATCCTCAAGGGAGGAATAACCACCTGGACCAGGCAGTTGGCGTTTATGCTACGCGGCACTGGGCGTTTACCAAACAGCCCTGCCCTGTTTGATTCCTCCTTGGGGTGCGTTTACTAAACGGCTTCGCGTGTCGGGGTGGTCATTCTCGGGGTGGATTTCCTGCCCTCTAAATCCTCCCCCCTTCCCCTTCCCCGGGCCGCCGCCACCGACGCCGTCCTCCAGCCCCCTCCCCACCCCCCTCCCCCCAGCATGCCGCCTCTCCTGTACCCTCCTGTCCCCACTGAGGCCCCCGCCCCCGCCCCCTCTGTGCCCACTGTCCTCTAGCAGCACAGCGTTCCCTCCGCCACGACCATTTTATTTTTCGCGTCGCAGCCCTGACGGGCTCATTTTCCACCACCACTACCGTATGTAGGAGGAGGAGGAGGAGGAGGAGGAGGAGGAGGAGGAGGAGGAGGAGGAGGAGGAGGCGGCGGAGGCGGAGGAGGAGGAGGAGGAGGAGGAGGAGGAGGAGGAGGAGGAGGAGGAGGAGGAGGAGGTGGAGGTGGAGGAGGAGGAGGAGGAGGAGGAGGAGGAGGAGAAGGAGGAGGAGGAGGAGGAGGAGGAGGAGGAGGAGGAGGAGGACCTCCTCATCCTCCCTTCTCCCCCGACCTACATATGGTAGTGGTGGTGGACAACCTGCCCATCAAGCCCCCTGCCCCTCCCCCCCGGGACTGGGGGAGTCGTATCTGGGTGGCGACCCCTCCTCTGGCGGGACCCCCCCCGACCCCCCGATGGGGGAGGGATCACAGGGAAGGGCTTCCCTTCGATTGAATTGCGCCGTTGCTTAATTTCGCTTTGGCTGGCGCGCTTGGGGAGGAGTGCTCAGGAAAAGTGGGGGAGCGGCGACGGGCCCACGGAGATGGGGGCCGCAGGGATAAGAGACGGCAGAGACGACGACTAACTAATGACGAAGAGGACGATTCGAACGGACAAGCCTCTCACGCACGCCGACAGGGTCGGCGGATTGCAGAAACCCTGCCAGGCAGCCCTTCGCATTCTTCCACGCCTTAACGTGCCGCAGGCACGGTGGCCGATAAGGGGGAGGGCCCCCCCCCCAGTCCGAACACCCCCCCTTAGACAGGGGGGGGGGGGGGCGGTTCGAACCCCCCGAGGGCGGGGCGGGGGACGGCGGTTAGGGAAGCTAGTGTCTGGGCCCTCCCACCCACCCCTATTCTCTGGGCGTTTCTTGTGTTCAGGTCCCCCCCCCCACACACCTCCAGTCTTGAGTCGGGCCTGCCCCTCTACAGGAGGAATATTCAAGTATAGTAAGAAAATAGTCTGGGGGCGATCTTTTGATTATTTTGACAGCTCTTGAGTATTTTTCACAATTCTTAAGTTTTTCGCCCAACATCCATTCGCCTGTAGGGGGACATGCCCGAGCTAACTCCAGT